CTTGCTAACTGAACATCCTTGTAGGCGAGAAAAAAAAAACGTAAAATGAACGTAGATCTACATGTGGTCGCAGGTGATTGAGCGTACTCTGTAAAGAGGTGTGTGATGCGTCCATGTGATTCTTTCACAATTCGAGGCAGTGGGAAATTCTTCGAAATCTACCCAGTAGTGGTGTTTGAACAAAAGGTGTTGTATCAAATAGACACTGATAATGTAGTCGGGGATCCTTAGAGTACCCATTTTGATTGTAAATAATATACTGAATTCTATCACTGTTCTCCATCACTCTGTATTTACGGTCAGCAGCGTGTGGAGTTGTAACGTTAGTGCTCCGTAAAGCGAGTGGTAATATGGAATCGGTCTACATACAGCCCATCTTCCGTTTGCAGTCATTTGCTCGTTGCAATGTAACTTATTGTATCTTAATTTTGCTGTGGTGATGATCAAAGATTGAGCTCTCAGGAAACCCTTTAGTTCTCTGGGTTAACTGCAAGTTAAATGCTTGCCTGACTGTAATACATTAAATGACGAATCTCACAAAATTGGAGCACCTTTTTCCCGAAATAGAGAACACGATAAGTTTCTGTTGTATAATTTATATATGTACATATATACATATTCATATATATATATATATATATATATATATATATATATGAGATGAGATACAGCAAACTATGTCCGGATACAAAATATACAACGCAAACCTACCGTTTTCTCTACNAAACCTACCGTTTTCTCTACCCGGAGTATCAAAAAAATCGATTACTTTGTTTAGATACCTCTCAAAGCGTTTGTTTGGGACTGTCCTTCATTGGACTTCTACTTCATTTTACAATTCTTGTATTATTCGTTATATGTGTATTATATGCATTTATATCCACCATCTTTCGTATTGTAGCAATATCCTCCATTATTCAGTTGATTAAAGCCTACGATCCGGCCTACCTCTTCTGTTGTGCTCAGAGCATCTCGTTGATTGATGATCTACTACAGGGACCTAACTAAAACGGTGGTCTGAAACAACCACAACAGTTTCGTTAATGAATACCCTAACTGGTGTTATTCTTCAGTGATAAGTTTCGCTTTTTCACTCCGTCGTAATCTGTGGAGCTGTTTCATCATGTTCACTCATGTAATTCTCACAACGTTCGATGGATGTTGTGCCCAATTTTTTATCCTCATCCTCACTAAAACACTGACGGTCGTAATGATTCATTGCAACTTTCAGGGGCTAGCTCCGGAAAAGTCGAACAAAACAACAGATGATCGTGGACTGCTGGAACGACCCGATCTGTCGGAGTATTTTTCCGATATTGGCCCAAATTCCTGGGTTCGAGGTGAGGATTACGAGCGCATGGATGGAAGCACTCATGCTGTCGTCCGAAAGGAGCTTCAGCGTCGATTCAATCGGGTATCAAACACACGACTGCGTCTGTTCCTCATTTCCACTCGTGCTGGTGGGCTGGGCATTAATTTAATCGCAGCAAATCGAATAATTCTATTTGATGCTTGTTGGAATCCGAGCCACGATATACAGTCCATCTTTCGATGTTATCGGTTCGGACAGACAAAACCGGTCTACATATATCGACTTATAGCCCAAGGTACCATGGAGGAGAAAATCTATGACCGACAAGTTAGTCCCAATTACCAGTTTAGTTGACTAAAATAAATTCCTTGGTGACTGTTTTTTTTTTGTTTTCGCTATGTGGGGGACTTGTCTATGTTTAATACTCATATCACAACCTATCCTATCTCGTATAGGTCACCAAACAATCTCTCTCGTTGCGAGTAATTGATGAACAGCAAATTGATCGCCATTTCACAACCAACGATTTGAAAGCACTATATACCTTCGAACCAGATCTATGGGATCTGGCAACAGCAGATCAACGTCCCACGCCCAAACTACCGAAAGATCGTTTACTGGCAGACTTACTGTCCGAGAATCCGAGTCTGATTGTCAACTATCACGAACATGACTCGTTGTTGGAACATAGAGAAGATGAAGGCCTGACGGAGGAGCAACGCCAGGAAGCTTGGCGTGAGTACGAGGAGGAGAAACAGTATGGTATGTCGTTGGCTCAGCATCAACGTCTGATGCAACAGCAAGAGCTACATGCTCGTATGATGCGTATGCAGTTTCAACAGCAACAGTTAATGCTTCAACAGCAGCAGCAGCAGTTGCAACAACAACCTCGTTTCCCATTGAATCCGTACCTTTATCGGCCGACGGCACCAACATACGGTACATTTCATCCAGCCATCCGTAACGCTGGACCGATGACGCCGGAACAAGGCAATGGAATGGTGATGGGACCGCCTACTACACAACTAAACGGTGAGTACATTGAAACGGTGCACCGTAGTAAAAACTGTACAAATAAAGAATCTAACCACTTTTGTGTAGGTCAAATTATTCTAGTATCTGTGAGCCGTGACCTTTTCCTCACGCTCGATTATCTCTTTCAACGTTATAGGTCGATCACACGGTCATCGCACTCATTACGAGCAATGTTTCCAGCACCGTTTTGCTTTGTTATTTCAGGCTGCGCTACTCATCTCACATCAAAGTTTTAACCCACAAGTCAATCGATTTGTTCCAGGCAAACCGGCAACCAGTAATTTTGTTCATTCTTNNNNAGGTCGCGGTTATTGAATGGAAAGGAAAGCGATGGTTTCACTTGTCGCGTGTCACGCACGCCACTCCACATTGCCGTTTTCGGCTGCTAGTGCAGTTTGAAGGGAGAACGCTTACGAAGCGAAAATCCATCATATCTTCGGGTACCTCGACTGCTCATCGGCCCATTGCAAGGCTATTCACCCAACTACCCTGTGGGACAGCAGCTTTCGACAGTCAGCTCTGCCCTAGGCACTCTTTGGAAAAATTTGTCATATCACTGGTTATCTTTCGACGTGACAATCTTAGCATTGTTTCCTATAAGCACACAAGACTACTGTAGGTCCTCATAGTCCATGCCACAAAACTGCACTCTATATCATAATTTGGAATTTATATCATACAAAAGTCCCCTCTTCTGATAGAAAATCACTCGTAGGAAACAATAAAAGTAGCTGTGTATTTGGGAGTAAGTTTTATGTTTTCGAGGAGCCTGCTTTCAAATCCTCGACATATATATTACACACTATTTCTAATGCGCAAAGGATTATGCTTCCTATTAGCATAGGTTTTCCCACCACATCACTCGATAATTTTGTTATTATTGAATTCAGCTGTGCTTCATCCANCGCAGAGTTTTGTTGTAGATTTGAGTTTACACTAGCACACCTCAAGTTGCTCCATTTAATACACTACCTATTTTTTTCTATTATTCAGTCCGTTGAGCGGTTACAGATTTAGATTGAAGTAATATTTATTTTACACCATTTGCTAATGTCTAATACCACAAAAATGATTCTCGTGACCGTCGAAGGTAAACGTAAAAGTTTGGACGAATGTTCTCATTTTATTTATACTTACAAACTGTGGTTTAATATGCCTAATCCATAATTTTGCTCTGTTTCATTCACCATCCGTAGGTAACATGTATGCCGAGCTGTACGAATATTTCCGCACCCAGTTACTCAGCGCTCGTCCAAGTCTGTCTGGCGACCCGGAGCAATTGAAACGTCTTATCATGGGCAACATGATGGACCATCTGGTTCGCACCAAAGCGCTTGAGCCTACCAATTTACAATCGACAAGTAATGTCACTCCGACGACGCTCAATCAACCGGGTGGTCCCTCGCAGTGATCCTATTGCACAATTGCGTTATTCTTTTCTTGGCCTGCTTGAATCATTTCCAACCGGTCTATAGAGATGGACCATCAGAGCTACGGAATTATCGTGGTTGACAGCATGGGAATGCAGTGGGATATTTGAACTGGTCGCACTCCTCTGTCATGCATTGTTTTTCTGTGTGNTCTGTGTGTGACACCGAATTGTTTCCCTGATTATCTGTGCGCGTTTCCGTATCTCGACCGTAAACATCATACACGCGCAAGCGTGTACGGATGCGAAAGTACCGCCATTTCCCTCATGCATTTACACGCACACTTGTTTCGGGCTCTGGTTGGATTATGTCTGTCGGTCGCACTACACGGACCAACATTCTGTACCAACGGGTCTCATTCTAATACTCCCGGTCGTTTTGTATTCTACAAACATATATAAATAAACGCGTCCCAAAACGAGCTGACAGACAGTTTTCTCTCAAAAACTGGTGCCATTGACAAATCGGAAAGACGATAAAATATGAATCTGTGGCCTCAAACTCGGCTGTCATTCGATACGTCGTCCATTTGACAGCACCTCTGACAACTATTCGTTTATTCCTCCCATCCCTTTTCCAATCTACTCTTGCAGTCTCATGTTCATCTACCTACTCGATCGCCATTATAACTTCTCATACACATACCTATGCTATGACATCATAAATACCATTAACTGATGACCGAGGCTCTTTTTCTTCCACATTTTTTCACTGCGCAAGAGCAACTAGACTTAACGAAAACCGAAATACATTTGGTTTCCGTCGGGGAAAACTAATAAACGTTGTTCGGTTTTTCTAAATATTCGTTCCATAGTAAACACATCCTAAATGCACGAAATTTCCTATACTTTCGACCTTCCACGAACTGCCAACCTTCCAAATACAACCGTACACACTTACACACAAAGACACAAGCGGCCGCACACACAGAGACAGAGAGAGAGAGAGAAAGAGGGAGACTTACACAGGGCTTCCATTCCAGTATTTGC